GGCTGCCATGTGGCTATTTCGCCAGGATATGAGTTTTATGAATGGTGTCCCGCTTTACCAATGTTAAAATCTGGTCACCTTAAGACAGTTAGAGTCTTGGAAACTCACAAGAGGAGGTCCACCTTGTGTTGGCATGGACTCGGTTTTTGGTTTGGTGTGGCCTGGTATGTAAATATACAGAGCCTCCTCCGGACACACAGGAGTGAAAGCCTCCTTTCAGCAGAATTACAAATTGCTGCTTGCTGAGAAGCTCTATGGTCTCTCCCCAATTGCCGAAAACCAATAAGCCAAATTCAGGGATGTTAAGAACTTCCTGTATCAACATCATATAGACGACTTGAGGTAGTTTAAGGCAGGTATCTGGTATTCCAAATGGGTCTGCGAGGCTTGTTCATCTAGTCTGGCTGCTGTTTATTGTAAAATTTAGTAATGCTGGAGTTTGGTTGAACTCGCTAAAGAAAATTTTGCATATGTAGAAAAATATATTAGCATAATTGTACCCATATGTCCTAGGACAGAACAGAATTACCTCATAGTGTTTCCAACACCATAATTGACAGATTTCTCAAAACAGCCGGAGGTTTTGAACTGCCCGTGGCACTCAGTGTTTGCTGTCATGCAGTGCTTTATTTCAGAACTGTTAGCAGGGTGAGGAAATACCATGGGGACCGTGTCCAACCTCCAGGGCCTACAGAAGGAAGAAGAATCAAACTCCACACCAGACATGCTTCCTCTCTAACTTCCTGTACCTTGTGTTGACACTAACCATCCCTTCCACAAGATTCTACTACTCTGCTGGATTCAATAAGGTGCTACAATGGTTACACAGAACTCACAGAAAATACTTATCATTGTGGGGTTTATTACAGACTTATAAAATGATAAGGATACAGTTCTTATGTCTGCAGTGTCTCCTCTCAGCCATGCTGGCCAGCATGTCTCTCTCTGGTCCTTGGTCTCTCAGGCAAGTGCTACAAAGCTTCTTTATCTCTGATAAATGCCCAAAGGGTCCCCCACTTAGCAAGCCAGCCTCCTGCCCAAAGGCACTCAGCTCTACTCATTCTGTGGACTGGGAAGCCAGTTCTGTCTCATGGTCTCAGTGTTTTGCCCACTGCAGCCTCTGGTTCCTCTTGTTGCCTCTGCTACTTCACACAGGGATCTCACGCATGCTTCTCTGTCGACTCTTCTTTCTTGATGGTTGTGAGATTTTCTGTCTCTACTTTTGAGATGGCTCACTGGTATACCCAGTGGAATGGCAAAACTGAGTCTTCTGTGAATTTATTTCATGCTTCTACCCAGTCACAGGGTGGGAATTAAAAAGACTGTGGATAGAAGACCATACCAAGTCACTGTACAGGGCTTACTTAAGTGAGCTTTAAGTAAGAAATTAGATTTTAAAATCAAGAAGGTGGTAGCTACATAATCTGGTGTCAATTTTAGGATTAAGAGTGAAGGAGTGGAGGTTATCCTGCCAATCAGGTGATAGCCAGTGAGGCCTCTTGGTGGGCATGGCCTTCTCCCGAGGATTCTGGGAACTCCTGGAATCCTCCTTGGAGACAGGAGACACTCTATTTCTCAACTCACTCCCTGAGAGAGTCTCTACTGAAAAGACACATGAAGCTGTGCTGATGGCAGTGAGAGCCCTGGACCTGGAGAAGCCACGTGGAGACCCAGTGCTGAGATGCTTACAATGCCACTGGATCCACAAGACTTCTCACCCACTGGCCTGTGATCGTACTGCATTTGACATCGTTGGATTTGTTTCGTGAGTTTGAAGAGGACTTTATAGATTGGTATCAGACATATGGGCTAATATCAGACTTATGGACTTGATCTGGACTGGGCTGGGATATTTTCTCAATATTCATTTGCTCTTGTATATAAAGCTCTTTCTTATACACATATGAGTGCCTATGGATTTGTTTGTCTAGCCTACCTAGACTAACAGCACAATCTAAATAGTCATGAATAGTAGTGGGAAAAGTTCTGGTTGATGGATCCTAGAGAATTAAAATGAGTCCTTTATAGACTAGCACTTATCATTTTTAACTTCCTTTAACAAAAATCCTTGTAAAAATGTTTTTCCTTGCCTTAAGTGAGCAAAATACACTAACTGTTTTAACTTTTATTTATGGTTGGAGTCATTATGATTAATACCAATGATTGTAATTTAGTAGTTCTAGATCAATAGGTCACAGTGATAGCAGACATGGAGCTTTTTGTTGAGGTGACATGAATACTGCCCCACAAAACACTCTGGGAATGCTGGGCAATAGCCACTGGAGACTCATGGAACTCAGTGAATTTCCTTCCTCACTCCATAATCTCACAGCCTGTTCTTTTCCTCTGAACCCTTTGCCAGCGCTTGTGGGAAATGAAATGATACTGCCCAGGGAAAAGAATGTTTTTATGTTGACTATAGAGATGCTATAAGACATAAGGAAAAGATATACCAGTCTTAGATCCTAGAAGATACACTGAAAATCTGTTTCTCTGTTGAAGTATCCCCATATATCTACCGCCACTGACTCAATGCCAACTCATAGTGATCTTATAGAGAAAGAGTAGAACTGAACAATACATTTAATATGGTAGAATAAGACCGTTTCATCTTGCTCCTGCAAAATGGCTGGTGGGTTCAAATTACAAACCTTTCAGTCAGTAGCCCAACACTTAACCCATCGTGCCACTAGGACTCCTTTGGGAACTGAGGGTTGTGTCCTCTAATCATACTTTTTCACTCTGTATGCTGAGCAATGCATAAGAGAAGCTGGATTATATAAAGAAGAATGAGGCATCAGGATTGGAGGAAGGCCTAGTTAGTCCAGGTAGACTAGAGAAACAGATCCAGAGACACTCATGTGTATAAGAAAGAGCTTTACATAAAAGAGTAATTGTATATTAAGAAAACATCCCAGTCCAGATCAAGTCTTTAAGTCTGATATTACCCCATATGTCCATATTAGTCCATACGTTCTCTTTAGACTTACACAGCCATGCAGTGATGCTCAATGCAGGAAGATCACAGACCAGTGGGTGGAAAGTCTTGTGTATCCAGTGATGGTGGAAGCATCTCAGCACTGGTGTGGGTCTCCACGTGGCTTCTCCGTCTCCAGAGCTCTCTGGCTCTATCAGCTTTGCTCCATGTGTCTTGTGTGGGTCTGGCCTCCAGTGAGCTATTTATCTCCTTCACACGTCCAAAATGAGGTCATCAAGCTGTGACCTGATTGACATGCTAGGCTCCATCACTTTGCAAGTTGACAGGAGATAATGTAACTCTCACAAAGGCTTATTAACAACCTGTGATATGCAGATGACACAACTTTGCTTGCTGAAAGTGAGGACTTGAAGCATTTGCTGACAGAGATCAAGGGTTGAAGTCTTCAGTATGGATTATGCCTCGATGTAAAGATCAAAATCTTTACAACTGGCCCAATAGGTAACATCATGCTAAATAGAGAAAAGGTTAAAGTCAAGGATTTCATCTTGCTTGGGTCCACAATCAGTGCTCATGGAAGCAGCAGTCAAGATCAAAAGACAGGTTCCATTAGGCAAATCTACTATACAAGACCTCTTTATAGTCTTGAAAAGCAAGAATGTTGAGGTGACTAAGAACTAAGAACTAAGGTGTGTGTGCCTGACCCAAGCCATGTGGTTTCAGTTGCCTCATAGAATATGAAAGCTGAACATTTAGGAAGGAAGACCGAAGAAGAAGAAATGTATTTGAATTATGGTGCTGGAGAAGAATATTGGAAGTACCATTGACTGCTGAAAGGACAAACTGATCTGTCTAGGAAGAAATATTGCCAGAGTGCTCCTTAGATGCAAGAATGGCAGGACTTTGTCTTACGTACTTTGGACATGTTGTCAAGAGAGACCAGTTCTAGAGAAGAACATCATGCTTGGCAAAGTGGGGGCAGCAAATAAATAAATAAACAAATAAAAGGAAGGCCCTTAAGGAGTTGGATTGACACCGTGGCTGCAACAGTTGACTTGGGCACAGGGACAATTGTGAGGATGGCACAGGACCAGGTAGGGTTTCATCCCTTTGTGCATTGGGTCTCTATGGGTTGGAACTGTGT